GTTAAAAGCTTTCACTAAGATCAATTGGCAAACTTTTTCTGTAAAGGGCCAGATAGTAATTATTTTAGGCTTCATGGGTTATCTGATCTCTGTTACAAATACTCAATTCTGACATTGTAGTGTGAAAGCAAAATGAGTATGGCTGTGTTCCAATAGAATTTTATTTGAAATTATTACAGTGGGCTGTCGTTTGCTGACCACTGGGTTAATAAATCAGAAAGACTTGGTTCAAATACCAGATCATTCTTGTTTGGTTCCAATTAGAATTTCTCTTTGATGACAGAAGTTCTCCTTACCTACTTTAGGACCCTTCTCTCTCTAACCTGATGCCTAACTGCATTATGATGGGAGTAGAAGGTCCTTGATTATGATCACTGTGTCACCTCAGACAAGTCACTTCACATCTCCAGACTTGTGTTTCCTCAGCTATGAAATGGGGGAGTTGGGCACTATGACTCTAAACACTCTCCTGTTCTGAAGTGCTGAGATTGGGTAACTCAGCTAGTCTGCTCATCAAGAACCAGCGGGGCCGGGTGGCTTCAGTAGACAGTCAGTGCATAGTGGCCCTGATGGCAAAGCCACAGTCAACAAGATAGTCTTTCTTCAGCCCACATGTGACTGAGAAAAACATGCCAGAGTCCCTTGGGTATAGTTATAATGCTATGAGTCAAGCGGTAAACTTTTCATGACCAGCAACATCAAGTCATTGATTTTCTCCTTAAATGAACAAAACATAAAACATGATGGAAGCTGCTGTAGCAGAAAAAAACAGGGGACAAGAAGCCTAGTGCAGCTTTCTCTTTTGGAGCTGACAGTTGTTTCTTTGATGAGCTCATCTCTTCTGGTCCTGTGAAGACTATGGTTTGTTTCTTTAGGACACTAACTTCCCTGTCATCCCCATCTCCCACTCTGATTGTTATGCCATTGCTAGAGACTGCTCCTTGGCTTCCTGTAGCTGTGCTGCCCCCAGCAGTGGATGGCCTTGTTTCTGTCTTAGCTCACCTGAGGCACCTGCTATGTGCCCATCAATCATGATGCCTAATCACAACAGTGGTTCTTAGTATGAGGAGGATCAGGTCCTCATGAGGGGGATGGGAGCAAATCAAAATTTTTCCAAACCACAAGGGCACCCACTAAAGAGTCTGACATCCTCCCCAGGGGAACAGTCCTCTCAACATCACATTGGGAATCACTGCTCAGGGCTTTGGCATCTCATTGAAGTATCTCCTCTAGGCCAATAGATATTGCCCCTGAATTTTGGACACAAACAAGTAGAGAGGCATGGGAGGAGTGAAGCATGAGGAGGCCCAGGGAGTGATTAGTGAGTAAGGGGTGAAAGGTTTGCATCCACATCCTGCCAAAGGTGCACCTGCAGAAGGTGGGAGTTGGAATAGTGAGAGGCAGAGAAGTGCTCTCTCTCTCTCTCCCACACACCGTGTGCCATTTCACTGTGGGAAGGAGAGTGGAGAAAAGCTTGATTTGGTTGATCCATCTTAATTATTCACTCTGCATGATGCCTTTCTCCTTCCATTTTCCCTGGCAAACACTGGGGCAGAGTTGGGGGAGGAGAAGATGAGAGTGTCTTATTAAATTCCAGACTACAGTACTCACCTTCCCTTTGGTGTGAGGACACTCCCCCTTGGTTTATTTAGAAGAATGGTTTCGAATTTTCTTAGGACCAACCCAACCAAACCCATTGCTGTCAAGTAGTGACCCAATAAGACAGAGTAGAAGTGCCCTATAGGGTTTCCAAGGCTGTAAATCTTTACAGCAGCCGACTACCACATCTTTCTCCCACTTTCTTAGGACAGTGTTTCTTAAACTTTAATCTACATACAAATTACCTGGGGGACATTATCAAAAGGCAAATTACAATTCAGTAGATCTAGGATGGGCCTAATAGTCTGCGTTTCCAAGCTCCCAGGAGATACTGATATTCCTGATATGTGGCCATACTTTGAGTAGCAAGGCCTTGAGAAGATTTTATTGCTCCTTCATTTCTGTTTGCTAATTACTAGAATCAGTAAGCCCAAGACCCTCAGGGTTACCTGCTGGTCCCCTCCCAGCCCCTTTTAGAAGGTACACCGATATTGGTACTCTTTTTCTTGAGCATTTTCACATGATCAAGTGGGCATGGAATCTTCTGTTTGATTCTTCACCCTGAAAACAGAAGCAATGGAAACCATCATTTGTTCAGGGAGGCTTCAATTTCTTTGGTTCAGATTGACATATTTAAGGGAATTTTACTACATTTCTATTACTGTCTATGGCTGCATAACAAATTACCCCAAAACTTAAAATACCAAACATTTCTTAGCTCACTGTTTCTGTGGGTCAGTAATTTAGGAGCACTTTATCTAAATGTTTCTGGCTTAGGGTTTCTTAAAAGGTTATAGTCAAGAGGTTGCCCAGGACTGCAGTCATCTGAAAGCTGGAGGAATCACTTCCAAGCCACTCACATGACTCTTGGCAGAATGCCCCAGTTTCTTGCTGACTGTTGGCAAAAAGCCTCAGTTATCACCACATGTACCTCTTTATAGGGCTTCTTAAGTGTCTTCAACAGAGTAAGTCATTTAAGAGAGAACTAGGAGGAAGTTGTGATGCCTTTATGACCAGTCTTAGAAGTCAGACACTATCTCTTCTGCCTTATTCTCTCTGTTAGAAGCAAGCCACTAAGTCCAAACCACACTCAAAGAGAGGAAGTTAAGAAATTAAGACTATGAAAGAATTTGTGTACATATTTTTTTAACCACCACAGATGCTCCTTGGCCAAGTAGGCAGTGTGGTAGCTGACTCATTCAAGGGTGTGATACTCCTGGTTTTTGCTCTTCTTAGGGCACCTGTGAGATTATGAATAGCAGAAATCCTCCTCCTTGGAAAGTAATTTCAAAATGGAAAGTCAACAATTCCATTCCACTGCACTATGGTTAAAGCACTTGACTGCTAACTGAAAGCTTGGTGGCTGGAACCCACCTGCAGCTCCATAAGGAGAAAGATGTGGCCGCCTGCTTCCATAAAGGTTACAGCCTTGGAAACTCTATGGGGTGGTTCTACTCTGTCCTTCAGGGTCTCTATGAGTTGGAATCAAGTTGGTGGCAACAGGTTTGGTTTGGTTTGGGGGAGACATTAGGAAGCAGTTATAGTGCAAGAAGGACAATATATTTTCATTGTTGTTAGTTGCTGTCAAGTCGGCTTCAATTCATGGTGACCCCATGTACAACAGAATGAAACACTGCCCAGTCCTCCATCTTCACAGTTGTTGGTATGCTGGAGTCCATTGTTGCAGCCACTGTGTTTTTCCAGTTACATAAACAATATTCTCATGTGCTCACAGAGTTTTTATTGGCTAATTTTCAGAGGTACAGGTATGTGTTGCTTAATGACTACATATATGTCCATGGTCCCATGAGGTTGGGTTGTTTTGTTTGAAGGGAAAGCAGCTCTCCTTTTGTTTATAATCTCCCCCTAATGCTTTTAAATACCCCACCCAAACCCAGACTCTTACAGCACTGGACCACGGGTGGAATACAGACAGGTGAAGCAGAGAACATGGCTTTTGGGCTTTGTCAGCAGGCAGCAGTGATGGTGGCTACTCCTGCTTCTCAGCCAGACAGAACAGGGGTGGTGCCACCAGGCATGCTCTGCTCCCTCCCTGCTTGCTTCCTCTTTCTCCTCCTGCAGCTCCTGCCAGTTTCTCTGGCTTCAGCTGGCTAGCCAAAAGAGGCAGCGTAGTTAGTAGAGTCAGTAGCAGTGGAAAGGACAACCGGAAGCAGGCTCCCATAAGGTTTTAATATAGTGTTCACATAACGTCCAAAACACATAACATCCTGTTTTAGAGAATGTGTCATGGACACACATGTGATGCATACTTGTATATCACCAGGACTTTCTTCCTAGACTGTCTTAGTTGAAGCCTGTCCACTGTGGTGACTCTGCTGATACTTGAAATAACTGGTGGCATAGCTTCTACTGCATAGTGATTAAGAGCCAAGCTCAAGAGTCTAATAATTCTCAATATGAATCCAGGTTATGCCACTGCTTAGTTGTATGTCCATGGGAAAATCACTTAAACCTCAGTTTCTTTATCTGGAAAAATGGGGATATTAATAGTACCTATCTCAAAATGTCCTGGCTGCTAACCTAAAGATTGGCAATTTGAATCCACCAGCCACTCTGCAAGAAAAAGATGTGACAGTCTGCTTCTGTAAAGATTTACAGCCTTGGAAACCCTATGGGGCAGTTCTGCTTTATCCAACAGGGCCACTGTTGAGTCAGAACTGATTCGATAGCAATAGGTTTTGGGGATTTCAGAGTGTCATATGAGAATTAAATATTATATGTAACATGTGGACTGGCAGATAGTATATGTTCAATACATGTCAGCTTCTATTAGCTCTTGATATCCTGCATCCATTTGAGATGACAGCTTTCTGTATCTGAAGAGATGCCAAAAGTTCCTGCTTAATATTTATGTTTCCTTCACCAGTGCCTCTTTTTACACCTTGGCCTCTGCCAAATAATTGAAGACTGCTTCTCCATATGGATAGATTCTCATGGCAAACCAAGGCGGAACTCTTCCTTGGCTTAGTTCTTTCACCCACCATTCCAATTATGAAGGAATGTAAGTCCAAGGTAGAGAGCCCAGATTGCCCCTTTCTCATCTAGTACCAGTTTTTGTTTCTGGCATAGATTGGCAGGGGCTAGCTCCTTTCAGAGCCCAGAGCTGAGGGACAATACCTTTACCAGGAAATGCCACTTCTGTTTTGAGCTACAGAAGGAACTGACAGGTTGTTTTGAATTGAACCTTAAATTGGTTCAGGGTAAATAAAGCACATGAGAGTCTCCAAGGAAATGGAAAACGTATTTGTTCTGTGGTATGTTTTGAGATGTTTTTTTTCCAAGGTAATAAAAATGACCTGACAAAGATTTTGATATGCCTATATTACATATTTATGTCTTCAAAGAAATCCTTTGTAGTTCATTCTCTGTTTTCTCTCCAGGTATTTAGTCTTCCTACAGATCAAAAGGGATCTCTACCATGGCCGCCTCCTCTGTAAAACATCGGATGCTGCCTTGTTAGCAGCCTATATCCTTCAAGGTAATGGTTTTTGACAGGATAAATTTGCTTTTCATGCTAAGTACAGATTACATTATTTCAGCTACCACAGATGACTACTTCTTGGATATAGACAGTATCTAACCCAAAGCAGAGTCCAAGCTAGAGGATTTTGCCCAGACTCCCTAGAGCCAGTAAGAACTGAACACTTAATCCTAAACAGGACTTAAGTCTTACTACGAGTCATTCTGACTCTATTTGGGGGATTTTCCCTGTGCCCTTAGTTGAGGAGGTTACTGAGATTCTGGAGAGTAATCTGAATCACTCTTTCCTACCCTCTCATGCACATCTCCAAGATGTGAAGCATCTGGTATCTATTTCAGAGACCTTTTAGTTCAGAGTGCTCAGAGTTGAAAATATTTCCAAGTAACAAGTGCATTTCCTAACATGCTAATAACTAAGAGTTGGGGCTGTACCCAGCTGATGCCCAGACTGGCATTTTTGCAAAACAATGGGAGAAACTTAATACACCTTCTTGACATATGGTCCCTTCCCCTTTCCTGAAGTGCAGGAGGCATTTAAATGCCACTTTCTGGATTTCTCTTAGTCCTTAGACCTGAAACTCTCATTGTCACTGGATCAATTTTGGGCCATAGCATTAAAATCATGAAGTTTCCATCAAAGAATCTTGACTCGTAATTGAAAATCTGTGAACTCCCAGAAGCTGTTTTGTAAAGAGAACTAGAAAGTTTTAGCCAATAAGAAACTAAAGTATCTCTGGCAGTAGAAGCAGGAAGATCACCTTCCTATATTACTATTGCTATAATAATCCAGAAGAGAGGGAGAATTAGTAAAGATGGAGATAAATGAATGGATTTGAGTAATATCAAGGATGTAATATCAGTAAAGAATTGAATGGCATTCTACTACTCTTTATTTACTGAAAGATAATACTTTGTTTTTGCCTAATAATTCCTTATTTGTTCACTATTTGCAAACTGAAAAGCATCATACAAATGTTAGGGTTCTTTTTAAATCGGTTTTCTACATCATCTTGATGGTATTTCTATAGCATATTTTAGATAAAGAAGAAAAAGTAGCAAAGAGAAAAACAAAACATATGAACTATCTCATTTGATGTAAAAATGTGTGTTCCTGAAAAATTGTACTACATCTGGGTAATAAAAGAACTCATACCTTAAAGAATAAAAAAGAAAGAAAGAAAGAAACTAAACTATCTCTGGCAAAATAAATATCACAACTGTGTTCAGAAACGTTAAGAGTCTGTCCATTGCAACCTTGACTTCTGAGACACCTGTTTTAAAAATCCCATAAATGGGAAGTGTCTAGAGAGAGCTTGCTGACTCTAAGGTATCCAAATATGCCCATTACATCTTTAAACAGAAAGCCTAACCCAATCTAAGTGAAATTTTAAACTCCATTCTTTCTTTCCTTGACAATCTTACTGAATTTTTCTTTTGTTTTTTCCTTAAAGAAGTAATTGATGTTAAATATTGAATTTGGAGCTTTCTAAATAAAATCATAATAAATGACTCTCTGGCTTAGGGTCATTCTGGACTTCAGGCTCAGGGAAGCCTTTAGTCTCTTGGTAATTCGTAGAAATCCCTAAGTAATTTGGAAGACACGATGAATATTTGTGGTGAAAGAGTACAAACCACAAGTACAAAAGTCAGCTGTGAGAGAAGGGCACATTTCCTTCTTAGTATTTAGTTCTCCCTCAAGACTTTTCATCTGAACTGGTTATGGCTCTCAAAGGGAAGGAAAGAGGGCAACTGCAAAGCAGCAGGAAGCTTCTCCTTCCTCTTATACCCACCATGCTTCCTCCAAGTGCTTCATATAGAGAAAGCTGGATTCTGACCCAGAATACATTGTGGAGAGCACCATGGGTCCACTGCTGTCTCAGCAAACAACTCTACGGATAGTTGAATTGGATTCTCTCTGTGAATGGCCGGAAGAGAAAGCTACACCAGGCAGAGAATTGAGAAGTCAACTTTAGAACTTGATGCTCCTGAACTCTGTGACACTTACTGGTTACAACCTAGTCAGCCTTCTGTGAATATTTATTCAGATTTATTCATCTGATTTTATTTGGACTGAGGGTTGAGTTCTGAGTTCAGATCATGGCTCATTCATCAATTTGCTGCTGAATCCTCAAAAACAAGATGAAGACTTCTGATCTGGCTCAGGCCCAAGAGGGTCTGTCTTCTGATAGAACTCAGTTTCCTGAGTTGCCACAAAGAACAGGGCTCCCAGGCCTTCTTCTCAGGGCTGAATGGACAAGGACTGTGTCACAGGCTTCTGCTCTTTTATTACAAATTTATTTGTGGTGGTCTCAGAAAACAGAGTCAACACCACTATCTTTCTGTTTAAACTTAAACATCAACCCAAAGTGCATGGATGGGGGAAAAACAAAGGTGAATGTGTTCTGAGGGATCTGCCCTTCTATCTGTGGACTCGGGATCCATTGCTCTTTGTAAAGCTGATTTGTGCTTTGGCTTTTGTTGTATGTGTCAATCTCTTTGTTGCTTTGCCAGTAACAATTTACCTGTCTGCACAATTATTTTCCCCTACCTTCCTTTTTAAAGCGGAGATTGGGGATTATGATCCCGGGAAACACCCTGAAGGCTACAGCTCCAAGTTCCAGTTTTTCCCTAAACATTCAGAGAAACTGGAAAGGAAAATCGCTGAGATTCACAAAACAGAGCTCAGGTGGGTAATACTCGGTTCAGGCTCAGGGCACAATGGCTGTCCCATAACAGGAGCAAACAGACTCTGTGCATTGTATTCTGTTCATGTAGACTGTTTTATGATACATGGTGATGCTCCCAGCCTTCCTAACTCTGGATATACCATGTGTAATTTTATTTATTTATTCATATATAATATATATATAATAAATATATATGTTTATTTTGTTGTTGAGAATATACATAGCAAAGCATACACCAATTCTACATGCACCATTTAGTGACACTGACTACACTATTTGAGGTATATAACCATTCTCACCCTCCTTTTCTGAGTCATTCCTCCTCCACTAACAGAAATTCACTGCCCCTAAGGCTCCTATCTAATCTTTCACGTGAATGTTGTCAATTTGATCCCATAGACATAGTTCTTAAAAGAGTATACTGCTCAAGGCAGACATTCTTCACTCAGTAAGCTAAACTACTGTTTGGTTTTAAGAAGATCTCAGGGGATATTTTTGGTTTGAGGTTTAAAGATTATCTCAGAACAGTAGTTTGAAGGATTCATGCAAGCTTCATGGCTTCAGGAAGTCTGAAGTCCATGAAAATTTGAAATTCTGTTCTGCATTTCCCCCCTTGTGATCAGCATTCTATGGAAACTTTGATCAAATATTTGTTCGGTAATGGTGGATGGGCACTATCCAGTTCTTCTATACTCATGGCAAAGGAGGCAGTTGTTATGGAGACAGTTAGCCACACACTCTATATCTTCCTCTTATTCCTGACTCTCCTTCTTCCTCTTTTGTTCCAGGCAAATAGAGACCAACTGTTGTGCCTTGGATGTCCACTTGCAGGTTTTTAAGGCCGTAGAAACTACATATTGAACTAGAAGGTAGAACAGAAGCACTAAACACATTAGGCCAATTAACTGGGATGTCCCATGAAACCTCCAAACCAAGAAACCAAATCCCACAAGGTCTTTGGTTGTACATAAGCAGCCTCGGCAGCTACTTTTTTTTTTTTTTTTTGGTAACTTTTGTAAACCTATCTATTCCACAACTTTTGCCAATTCAACTTTTTACATATAGGTAACTTATTGACAGCAATTACAATAATTAGCTGTGCAAGTCTACCCTTAATGTGATTATGTCCATCATCATTAAACACTCCCCTTCCCCCATTTTTCTTCTCTGGTAACTACTAGTAAACTTTGTTCTCTATACATATGCTTTTTCTTCTCTTCTTATATAAGTGAGATCATACAATATTTGTCCTTTTGAGATTGACCTATTTCACTCAGCATTATGTCTTCCAGCTCCATCCAGAGTGTAGCATGTATCAAGACATCATTTCTTCTGCTGGCTGAGTAGTATTCCATTGTATGTATGGACCACATTTTTATTATCTATTCATCTGTTGATGGGCATTTAGGTTGTTTCCAACTTTTAGCTATTATGAATACACTGCAGTGACCATTGGTGTAAAGTCTCTGTTTGAGTCTCTGCTTTCAAGTCTTTTGGATATATACCTAGGAGTGGAATTGCTAGGTCCTGTGGTAGTCCTATTTTTGGTTTTTTGAGGAACTGCAGCACTGTTTTCTATAACAGCTGTGCCATTTTGCATTCCCACCAACAATAAGTAATGGTTCCGATTTCCCCACATCCTTGTAGACATTTGTTATTTGATGGTTTGTTTTTGTTTGTTTGTTTGTTTGTTAATCTTAGCCATCCTGGTGGGAGTACAATAGTATCTCATTGTGGTTTTGATTTGCTTCTCTCTGATGGCTAATGACTCTGAGCATCTTTTCAGGTGCTTGGTGGCCATTTGAATGTCCTCTTTGGTGAAATGTCTATTCAAGTCCTTTACCCATTTATCATTGGGTTGTGGTTTTGTTGTTAAGTTCTTATATATGTTTTGGTTATTATGATTGGTTTTGATGGGTATCCTGAGAATACATTGGTTTAGGGGCTGTATCTTCAGCAATGCCTGACTCAACTCCCACACACACACCTGACCCTGATGGTGCACAAAAGAGAAGCAGCTTGAAGCAAGGCTGGTTTTCCTCATCTTCTTTGAGCTCACCCATAATATTCTGAGTCCCAAAAAAGTGTTAATGCATCCTTTCACCCACATGAAATCTATAAAGACTGATTTAAAAAACAACAACAAGATGACAACAGGGTACTTGAGCTACAATTTCTGTGGCACAGTAAAACAGATTCTCCAAATTGTTAACAAAGAAGAAAATAGTTACATATAGTGTGGTAAACTAAAATGGAAAGCCATCATTTTAATACCATTTTTTAAATCTTTCTGGAGAAGGATATGTTTGTTTCTAATAATAATACTAAGCTCAATCAGTTCCTACACGCCCCCCTCTTAAAAAAAAAAACAACTTTCACTCAGAGATTTCAGGTTAAACTCCTGAGTTTACCAGCAAATACATCCCAAAAGCCTTCTTAGCCTCGGTAAACAGGCCCCTTGCCCATTGTGTGGCAGAACCCAGGGCTCCTCCCAGCATTCTTTCAGGGGAAAAGCGACCCCTTGTGGTAGTCATCAGAATAAACTTGGGCACGCATGGGGTCTTGCTGCATCAGAAGGCGCTGGCCAGCGGGATTTAGGAAATGTCAGAACAGTGAGGGCACTTCCCCTAGAACCCTCATCTAAGGCAAGGAATCCCCAGGATATGATGCCCGATTTCAGGGCCCTGGAGATGTGGGCGGGCTCCTGTGGTGACTGGAGCCCACAGGGCCCACCACCCTCCAGGCAGTGAGCCGATGATACCACCACTGCCGAAGCTCCCTGGAAGGGCCTACTCCAGCCACCTCTGGTGCCCAGTCCATCCCTGCTGTGTGATAACACTTACAGGGCAGCCTGCCTGCATTCTACATGCATTTTCCAAACACCTTCCCTGTGTCTTGGGTGCTCTGGTGACTGTACAAAAAGTTAGCATCCACAATAATACCTGCAGGTTGATCAGATAAAAGAAAAGAAACAAAGCACTGTAGGTATTACTTACCTGTTCAGCCTCCTCTTCATAATGTAATAATGTAAAAAATATGACTGTGTTTCCTTTCTCCCACTCTAATATGAGTCCCTTGAGGGTAGGATCCAGAATGTGCACTACATTTTATTTATTTATGTTGTATGTTTTATAGCAAGTAGCACAGAAACTGGCAAATAAAGGTGCTGATTGATTGGTGCCTTTTCAAAAGGACTCCAGAGGGATTCTGTCCTGCTATGCCTTTGGGTTGGCTTATCTTCCTCCCCTGCCATATTACCCGAGGCGAATGTTGAACTTAGAATTAGGAGCATTCAGTCCTTCCCACCAGCCATCAGAGTTGTTGTTGACCTCACAAACTGCCCGCCACACCCACACACCCACACACATACACAGGAACCAGTCTCATATGTATAGAAGGCATCTGTTTCCATAGGACTCTGGATGTGGCCTCATAGCCTGATGGTTATACCACCACTGGTTCTGCACTGAGCTCATCGGCACATCTGCTGAAGAGGCAGCCAGCAGGGGAATGATGCTAAAAGCCCCTTCTTCAGCTTACAGCTGGCGCTGGTTACGTTTTTTTTTTTTTTTTTTTCTGCTTGTTTCCTTTTCATAGTCATCATCCTGTGGACAAACAGAGCTACTGTAGAGTCTGAGGAGCTCACACAGTCTTCTCCTGACTTTATATTCCCACATTCCTTTTTGGTAAAAGAAGAGGGTTGGATGGCACCAGCAAGATATACAGACTCTTTCTTTGTATTTCAGTCTTGATCAGATAAAAGAAAAGAAACAAAGCACTGCAGCCAGCGTGCAGATGTGTTTCGTTTGCCCCCAGATATTTAAAACAATTGGGGGAAAATAAAATAAAAAGGCATTGCCATCAAATCAATTCCGACTCATACTCTATAGGACAGAGTAGAACTGCTCCATAGGAATTCCAAGGCTGTGAATGTTTACGGAAGCAGACTGCTTCACCTTTCTCCCTCAGAGAGGCTGGAGGATTTAAACTGCCCACCTTTCTGTTAGAAGCTGAGCACTTAACCACTATACCACTAGGACTCTTTAAATTATGCCACATCACATAAAAATCAGTATCTCTCATTTCTCTTTAAAAAAAATCAGAACATCTAGCAATTCTGGGCTCCACATTCCCACATGATTACAGTCTCAGAGCTGAGGAAAAGCCACTTCCATTAGATGCAGAAAGAGCTCTGCAGGTTGCCACAGCCCACACTGTCTTACACTCCGGCCCAGGTCACTCATTATATGGCCTGCCTCACCCTTGAAGGCATTCGAGTTTTTGATCCCAGACAGGAGTCTCTGAAAAGTTGGTCCTGGGACAATAGGAAGCACACTCAGGAAAACCTGGCATGTGTGCTTCCCCTTGAGCCCTTCTTTTTTTTTTTAATTGTTATTGTTGCAAAAACAATCACCAATTCAAATTTCTACATGTCCATTTCAGTGACATTGGAACTGTGCAGCCATTCTTATCCTCCTTCTCTGAGTTGTTCCTCCTCCATTAACATAAACTCATTGCCCCCTAAGGCTTCTATCTAATCTTTGGAGCTGCTGTTGTCACTTTGATCCCATATAGATAGTTCTTAAAAGTGCATAATGCTCAAGGCAGGCATTTTTTACTAGTTAAGGTAAACTATTGTTTGGTTTTAAGAAGACTTCAGGGGATATTTTTGGTTTAAGGATTAAGGATGATCTCAGGGTAATCATTTTGAGGGTTCATCCAGTTTCCATGATTCCAGAAGGTCTGAAGCCCATGAGAATTTGAAATTCTGTTCTGTATTTTTCCCCTTTTGATTACAATTCTTCTATAGAATTTTTGATCAAAATGTTCCGTAATAGTAGCTGAGCACCGTCCAGTTCTTCTGGTCTCACGGCAAAGGAGGCAGTTGTTCAGGAAGGCTATTAGCCACATATTCTATCTCCTCCTCTTCTTCCTGACTCTCCTTCTTCCTCTGTTGTTCCAAGCAAATTGAAACCAATTATTGTGCCTTAGATGGCTCCTTGTAGGCTTTTAAGACCACCAGGTACTATGCATCAAACTATGAGGTAAAACAGAAGCACTAAGCATGTTATTAGTCCAATTAACTGGAATGTTCCATGAAACCATAACCCTAAACCTCCAAACTAAGGAACCAAATCCCATGAGGTCTTTGGTTGTACATAAGCAGCCTTTCTCTCTCCCTCTTTCTCTCTCTCTCTTTCTGTCCTTGTTATAAATATATCTATCACACTATTTTTGCCACTTCAACTACTTACAGGTATATAACTTATTGATAGCAATTACGTTAATCAACTGTGTAACTTATCACCGTAAACTGAAAGTCAATGCTCCATAAGCAATAACACCCCTCTCTCTTCCATCTTCCTGCCATCTAAGGACTTCTTAATAGACTTTACCTCATTGGCACCTGTGGGAACAGGAAGCCCTGAAATCATCTCGTTTTCTTCATTCCAGTGGTCAAACACCAGCAACATCAGAGCTAAACTTTTTAAGGAAAGCACAGACCTTGGAGACATATGGAGTGGACCCCCACCCTTGTAAGGTAAGCTCCCCTGGTTGGAGACTGCACTGACCTTGCTCCTCTAAAGGGCAATAGGCAGCAAAACACCAAGTGCCTGTGCCCATTGGGCCACCTTCACAGTCTGAATAATTGGCTCTTTCTGTGACAGATGCTAATGTCTAATTCTGAGAACTTCTCAGGATTCCATACTGCATCATTTTTGTGATGCCACATCAATTTTTGAAGGATCTGAGGCAAGTCAATCTAAATAACAAATTGGAAACAGGGGCCCCACTTTGGCAGCAATGGGTAATTTGGTGGAAGTGAAGAAAAGAGGGATGTGGAAGGCCCCCCACAGGGAACAACAGGAGGTGGCTCAGCACACTGCCCACCTTTCTCTGACCCGTAATCTACTTCCTTTCCAAGAGTGGGTTTTATTGACTGCAGTGGCATAAGTCACTGTGTGGAACTGCAGTGGAGTCACATTTAATTCCATTATGTGCCCACGAAGACGAGACGGGAACCAGCCGGGAGGCTCTGCCCAGAGAAAAACCTCTGTAATTACTTACATGTGTCTGGCATTTTGGAGATGAGCTCAGGCAGCTACAGTCACTGCTGAGAACAGCAGAGGCCCCTGGCCTTTCTGTTCTTTCTGGGGCCATGTCCCTCCACTTCGTCTCCACGCTGCTATTGCTTGAACGTTCCTGATTTCTGCCTCAGTTTCTCCACCTTTTTGCCTCTCCCTCATTCAATTATTGGAGAGGCCCCTGCACCACTGGAAAAAACAAACTCAAACTGATCGGAAAGGAAACAGTATGAGATGAGAACAGGAGATTGGGTTTAGGTGAGAAGACACCATAAATTTCTAACAGAAATGAATAGAACACAAAACAAGGAACTCAGTGACGCGGGGGCAGAATGGTGTTTTCCTTGGTCCCTTGGTAAGGCCATGTCAATTTGCTCTTGCCTAGAATTTAATGCTGGGACTTTTAATATGAATCTTGAGAACATTCTGATGCTCAGAAACCCTGGTCACCTTCCCCGCCCCATCGTTCCCTATTCACTAGCACAGCCTACTGCTACATAATCTCTGTGTTCTTGGGGGGCAGCAGTCAGAAAACACATTCATGCCTTTTTGTACCAAATAACTGACACATGGATATTCACAAAGGAATTAGTCAGGCTTCCTAAATTAAAAAAAAAAAAAAAAAAACACTGCCGTCAAGTTGACTCATAGTGACCCCTCCTTGGGTTTCCAAGGCAGTAGCTCTATGG